AAAAATTTAAAAAAAAAAAAAAAAAAAAAGGGTTTATGTATGCCTGGAACCTTAGGTCACTTGGTACCAGTTTTATTAAAGAGTCTATTCTAATCATGTGATTTATGGCGAATGCAATTGTGGTCTAAAGGGCTGAAGCCCAAGTAGCTGAAGTCAGTCAAGGAAGCCCCACATGCATAGTGACTGACTCCGGATAAAAAAACCCTGGACAACAAAGCTTAGGTGAACTTCCCTGTTTGACCACACTTTGCACATTTTGTCACATTCAGCTGCAAGGAGAACTAAACACATCCATGCAAGTCCATTAGATAAGGACTCCTATAAACTTAGTCCATGTGTGTTTTCCCTTTGCTCATTTTAATCTGTGTCTTCTCACGGAAATAAACTGTAACCATTACAATAGCCTTTCTGTGTTCTGTGAGCCCATTTAGCAAATCACCAGACCTGACAGTGGTCTTGGGGAAAACCCTGACACAAATGGCAACACAAGTGGGATTTGCTATAATGACCCTAGCTCACCAAAACACAATGGAAGCACTATGTGGGAAAAAGAAGGTTAATGGGGCAGGGAATGATGAATCTGATGCCTAATGTTTATACCAAGTCAACAAAGATAGAAGACAACAGCCACAACGTGATCAATAACTGCAGGCAGGGGTGCCTGGGTGGCTCGGTCGGTTAAGTGTCCAACTTTGGCTCAGGTCATGATCTCACGGTTCGAGAGTTCAAGCCCCGCATCAGGCTCTGTGCTAACAGATCACAGTGTGGAGCTGGCTTTGGATTCTCTGTCTCCCTCTCTCTCTGCCCCTCCCCCACTCACACTCTGTCTCTGTCTCAAAAATAAATAAACATTAAAAAAATAATAATTGCAGGCAGAAGTAGTCAATGAAATTTAGAAATAACAGAAAAAATTCTCAGACACTTGGCTAACTGCATGTATAAGGAAATACAAAATAATGAGAAACAAGCTAAATATTCAAGCCCTTTGTTATTTTTATCTGTAACAATTAAAATGAAAGCAGAGTGTTAAGGCCAAGGCTGGTACTGTATCTAGTTTGGATTTCAGTCAGTTCAAACCAGAACTGCTAGCCTTAGGGCTACTACCAAAGGGAAAATTATGGTGGACCATTAGCCCATGTGTCATTTTTTTTTTTCATGATATTGAAAATTTGGTGACTCTTCTCAATATGAAAAAGAAATATTATCTTTCATTCTGGGAAAATGTTCATGTATTATTTATTATTTCTTCACTTCCATTTTTTTAAAATATTATTTATTTATTTTTGAGAGAGAGAGAGAGAGAGAGAGAGAGAGAGAGAGAGAGATGGCACAAATACAAGTGGGGGAGGTACAGAGAAAGAGAGGGAGAGAGAGAATCCCAAGCAGGCTCTGCACTACCAGAACAGAGCCCAATGTGGGGCTCAAACTCCTGAACTAGGAGATCATGACTTGAGTTGAAATCAAGAGTCTACAGCTTAACTGACTGAGCCACCTGGGCAC